GTTTTTTTGGAATATCTTTTAAACGGCTCGATCGATCAACTTCGAAAACTAATCCACCCTTAAGCTTGAAAAACCACGCTGATCGTCGCTAATCCGGTCAAAATCGGTTGATTCGTTCGATAGATATCGTGAACGAAAGAAAACCGAAAAGTGTTTTTTTGACATAACTTCGTCATTTCTTCTCCGATCGTTTTTGACGATATAGAATAATTTCAGAGCTTGAAAAATCGCGTCGATCGCCACCAAAAACGTGGAAATCGGTTGATTTGTTCGAGAGATATCCTCGATAAAATATTTGGAAACAATTGTTTATTTAACATAACTCCGACATTTTTTGGAATAACTTTGAAACGGCTGCACTGATCGATTTCAAAAACTTATCAACTATTAGCATGAAAAAATTACGTCGATCGCCGTCAAGCCGGTAAAAATTGGTCAATTCGTTCAAGAAATATTATGAACGAAAGAAAACCAAAAAAAGTGTTTTTTGGAATGACCTCAAATTTTCTAGTTTTATCAATTCAAACTTGAAGATTTTTCATGAAACTAAAAAAATTGCGTCAAATACTGCCAACCGCGTAAAAATCGAGTAATTCATTTAAGAGTTAGTGCGGTTTTAAAATTTAAAAAATATTGTTCTATGATACGTCAATCTGACTTTTGACCTCGAAGAGCTCAAAATAACACGTAACTTGTATTTTTGAGCTTAAAGAGCTCAAAAACGTCATTAGTACAGTTTTATGCAGCTAGGTATGGAATTAGCGGGAAGTTGCACGGATGGCCTTGTTTTGTCGAAAACTATCCAATGCGGATAATTCCCGTAATTGTTTTAAATTATATGATAAAGTTGGGATTAGGAAATTAAATAATAATACTTGGAATTTTTGGGGAACAATTTAGAAGAATTTATTTGTCCCCAAAGGAGGAAAACCCAGCTAGGCTGGGAAAAAACCTCCTTGATGAAAATTATACAAGTAAGTTGTATGTGTGTAAGTGTGTGTGTATAAATTACGTTGCAATAACGCAATAGGGGTAAGCTCAGCCGCCGTATACAGAAAATTATCGATAATTTGAATTTGTACTGTCCCAAGGCGGGAGCTAGTAATTTGAATTTGTACTGTCCCAAGGAGGGAGCTAGTAATATCTAATTAATTAGATGAACTGTCTCAAGGCGAGAGCTTATAATGTTCAATTAATTAGATAAATTGTCTCAAGGTGAGAGCTACTAATGTTTAATTAGTTAAATAAATTGTCTCAAGGTGAGAGCTAATAATATTTAATTGTCTCTAGATGAGAGCTAATAATATTCAATTGATAACAGAATGTTAGTCAATTAAGTTTGATGTTTTCGTGTAGAAATTAGTCAAATGATTTGAAGTTGGAATTTAATTATTTATAAGTTAAATTAAATAAGATCGTAATTAAATGTTAATAATTAATTCAATGTAATTAATGGTTAATATCACGCGTCAATTATGGATTGACTAAAGCCGCGTGGCTGATGCAATTCTTTGTCAACGGTGGCGCGTAATGGCCGCGTGGCATCACTAAATAAATTTACTTGATTTTATTTATGTTAATTCACTGAACTATTAAACTGATTTAAATGAATTGAGAATTTAAAGTATAATTGAATCTACTATAATTATTTATATTTAATGAATGATTTAAATATTTGAATGAATGTGAAATGCAAGTAAGAATTGTCAGAATTGATTAGCACAGAGTAGTCGTACTAGTACAAAGTCCAAGCACAACTGTTGCATCAGACCACGCGAGCCGGCTTCTCTACCGCTAACCAAGGCGCGCATGAGCGACGGCCATAGCGTGATACGATTATTCCCGAGTTTTAACGATTAAGCCCGAAGGCGTAATTCTTCTTATAAGTATTTGACTAGATCTTTTTTCTAGCGGTTAAACAGGCCTTCAGGGTCTACTGTTTTTCCAATTTTTTTTTAAATTTCCTACTACATCAAATTTTTTTAACTTTGATCTCCGATATCTTTGAAATGGTTAATGTAATCGCTTATACATATTCGATCTTTTTTGTAGATCATTCAATTTTCTACAAAAATATTTCTATAAAAATTTAATTAAAAAATTGATCAATAGTGAGATATGATCTTTTTTATACGAGACTAACAAAAAATATAAAACTGTGATTAGGATTAGCTTCCTATCAATATTAAGAGCTTAAATTTTGTGAGCATTTTCTAGAGGTGCCTGAGAACCAACTTTTCAATATTAGAAGTTAAAAAAAAATAATCGATTTTTTTGACCCACCCTATTATACACTTATAGAAAAATTGTAATTTTATTAATATTTTAGTACACGAGTGTAGGATAAAATTCCAAATTCAGTTTACAAAACAAACATTTAATCTATTTATAGTTATATTACGATAACAACTTCAAAGTTTAATAAATATTCACTAAATTGATTGATTTTTGTCTAGATAAGCTTAAAAAATCTGTTTACCATATTATTAATAACAAATTTCTGAGATTACACAGCAATATTTCGTTGAAATTAAAATCGGAACGTAGTTAATTAAAATCGGAAAAAAATAAGTAAAATTCCATTCCAGTGAACATATGACCTTCATATGACGTGATAGACAGGTCATATAGAGATCATAAAATTTTTACATAGATATGACATAAAAATGACTCTATTGATGACTTTAAGATGATGTCATATAGTGTGACATAAATATGACATAGAACTGACCTATAATTTGACTTATATATGACATCATAATGGTGACTTAAATATTACGTAAATATTACGTCCTATTCATATCATACTGTGACGTCATATTAAAGTCATAAATTTATGTATTATTTACGTAAGAAATAAATCATACAAATACATAAATTACAAGTCATATTCTGACGTAAAAGTAATATAATAATACCGTCATATGCTTACATAAGAAACGGCTCATATTTTTACGTAAAATTGATGTACGATGAACGTCATACTTAAGCATTAGCTTCAGGTCATCTTCTTACATACAACTGAGGTAATATTAATGTCATGACTGCATAAAAATAAACGGTATTCATATGTTAATCATCGGTATTTTATACTATGTGTTATACTGTTTTATATTAGGTATCGATTTAATAATCGATAGTGTAATTTGATGTAAAATTTATTAATTTTTATTTTTATTTATAATTTCCAAATTTTAGTTACCACAAATTATCTTTAAATGCAAGCATTAAATATACTTTTACACTTGAAAGGATTAGGATTATTATACAAATAAAATGTATAAACTAATTTCAAAATCAATTATTATATTGTAATAAAGGTACAGTAACAAAATAATCACTCTTAACATACGAAAAATATAAACATTTTGACTTTACAACGTCCGTTGTAACAGTAATCAATTTTGGATTAATACGCTTTTTTACTAAATAAATATTCAAATCTCTAGAGTCACAGGGTTTTACGAATAGCGAATGAAATTTAGAAAAATGTTTGCCTTGTATTGTTATTTGATCATTGTTTACATTGATGTTTTTAATCATTAAAATATGATTATTCGATAACAAATAACAATTTTCTTTTTTTTTTAAATTCAAGGTAAAACCATTAAACTCTAAAGAATCAATTTTACCATTATCTAATTTTTTAATCAGTGGATATGATGGAATGCAATGATTTTTTAGTAGCAAAGCATCTTCTTCATGAACACGATCAACTACTTGTTCTAAAGGTTTTGGTTCATCTTTGACTTTACTTTTAATGTTCGGCATAAAATTTTCAAATTTAAAAGTACTAAAATCGTCCAGTGGTCCAAATTTTTTGGCATCCTTGGCAAAATGAATCAAATTATGGACATTATATGATATTGAATCCGAGCCGTATAAATTTTTGTACTCCTTAACGAACCACCTTAATAATTCATCAGCATAATCGTTATAAACTAGGTATCTTCGAGGATCACATAAAATTCTTATCGTAACACTTAGAGCCATAAAGTGATTATAATATCGTGGTCTGAAAATATTTTTTAATATTATTGGACCTGTATATAATAAAAATTGACGACACTCTGTGGCCTACCACTTTGCGACACTATCTAACAGTCTTGGTTTTCGTACAAATTTAAGTGGAATACAAGTTTTCATGGCTTGTAGCGCCTCATTGAAATCTTCTATTTGATCATTTGTTAGTCGATGAGCCCTGGAACCATTAGTCAAGCGAAGTAAATATCGTTTTGCTACACCCAAGCATACTAGATGTTGATAATCCAAAGGGATTTGAGATACCATTCCAAAATCCAAATCAAGAAGTAAGGATTCACCTGAGTGATGTTCTTCTTGCATTTGACTTTTAAATGATTCGTCTGTTCGAAGCGGACTATTGATTTCTGGAAAATTAACGTAGTTTCCCCATTCTCCTTGTTGGGTACATTTGGAACACCCAAAGTACCCACTGTGAGACTTTGTTAAAGTCAAATATGCTCTAGCTGGAGCATCACAAATTATAGCATCAAGTCGAACATTGATTGTCTTACTATTGATTTTTATGCCATTATTATGTAACTTTTTCATGTCATCAACAAAAGGATTTATGTACACGTTTATGACACGCAAAATCGTGAAGCGTTCCACATTTTTAACAAATATAAATGCTGTGAAGCGGGAAAGAATAGGAGTTACGGATAATTATTACGTGAAGCGTTCCAACATTCACGTAACAGGATAATTGGTAGGAAAGGATTGAGAAAGGATTATGGAGAGGAACTTCTTAATGTGAGTGTATAGAATATGTGAGAAAAAAAAAAAATTATTAGATAGCTCGGACTGGGATTCGAACCCAGAACCTTCCGAAGACATGTCGGCTACTCTACCATTTGAGCTATCCGGTCTATACTAAATTTCCTTTCACTTATTCTATATACATTAAGCCACACCGTCCATCTTACGGCTAGCATTTTTAACAAATATAAATAATGCTGTGAAGCGGGAAAGAATAGGAGTTACGGATAATTATTACGTGTAAAATTATTTGGTTTAGAGTATCTGTGGAAAAGTCCAACTAAGACCGGTTCAGAGTAAAAATCAGCCTTAATTGCGGCCAGCAGAGGCCAAAATTGACTGCTAGACGATTTACTGAAAGACATACCATCGCAATTTAGTTGAATCAATATGGTCGCAGGGCAAACATTATAATATTTATTTATTGAGCGAGTTAATCCATGGGTGATCCCAAAATGGAAGTAAGATCCCCCATTGCCATTAACAATCTTCCCTGTCACATCACGAGGAGTTTTCATCAAAGTACGAACGTCTTTCTTCAGTTCGTTTTGATGTCCATGGTTACGGAAAATACCTATTAATTTATTCGCAGCTTGTTGCGAGATGCTATTTTCAGATAGCCAAAACCGCAAATCTTCAGACAATGTAATCGATGATGCAGATCCAGATTCTTGATGAAACTGTACGTATTCAAAAGTTTTAGGCCGTTCAATTGTATTATTTTCTGTAATTTGCTCCATTTGATCATTACAGTCATGATTAGATTGATGACTATTTTGTACGAGAATTTCAAGGTTATTTTCAATATCACCTTGTGAATCAGTAATTGACACTGGAACACTGTGTTGAATTCTCTCTGTTGTAATATTTACAGCTTGAATGTTTCTTGCAGTCTGAATTTCCTCTTGAATAATTTGTAGACTCTTCGTTTTGTCATAAATGTAGTCGGTTTTTTAGGCATTTTGATTTATATTAAAAAAAAATGTGAGGTGAAAATCGTCTGAAATGAAGAAAATAAAATTTTTTATGACATTGAAGGTAGTAGTAGATACTAGACAATAGAAACAAATTTTTTAAATTTAAAAATTATATCGATAATTTTAAATTTATTTTCATGTAAAATGGAAAAAAAATTTTTTTAATTACTTATGTACATGAGATTTAAATATTGTCAGATGTCTGCTTATTTGACTTGAAATACTAGTTAATTTTCTCTTATCGTTTTTCAATGTCGACCATCTTTCAAAAACAACAAACAGACATGAAAAAATTTTAGAATCTTGCTAACAATCAGATAAGTTACTCCTAATAAAAGATGTAAATTCAAAATACATGTAAGTAAAAACTAAAAAACACAACATAGTAATGAGCTTAGTTTTTAAATTAACCTTTATATTAATAAAAAAATTTAATGCTCACTCTGTTATATATAAAAGTCAGATATCCTTCTCGATTTTTACAGAAACTGGGGCGCCAGAAACTGGGGCGCCACTGAGCCACAATCGTCTTATAACGTGTTTTTTTTCGCTCCGCTATTTTGAGTGTTTTTTTATAATAAATCTCTGTGTTTAATTATTTCTGACGACAGCATTCTGCTTTTAAATTATTGGTGTATCAATTATATAAATTTTTAACAGTGTCCAAGTAAGCATTACTTAATAACCCTAGACTTTACTCTTTTATTATTGTTTAACCGCTAGAAAAGAGATCTAGTCAAATACTTATAAGAGAAATTACGCCTTCGGGCTTAATCGTTAAAACTCGGGAATAATCGTATGAACTCGGGAATAATCGTATCACGCTATGGCCGTCGCGCATGCGCGCCTTGGTTAACGGTAGAGAAGCCGGCTCGCGTGGTCTGCTGCAACAGTTGTGCTTGGACTTTGTACTAGTACGACTACTCTGTGCTAATCAATTCTGATAATTCTTATTTGCATCTCACATTCATTCAAATATTTAAATTATTCATTAAATATGAATAATTATAGTAGATTCAATTATACTTTAAATTCTCAATTCATTTAAATCAGTTTAATAGTTCAGTGAATTAACATAAATAAATAAAATCAAGTAAATTTGTTTAGTGATGCCACGCGGCCATTACGCGCCACCGTTAACAAAGGATTGCATCAGCCACGCGGCTTTAGTCAATCCATAATTGACGCGTGATATTAACAATTAATTACATTAAATCAATTATTAACATTTAATTACGATCTTATTTAATTTAACTTATAAATAATTAAATTCCAATTTCAAATCATTTGACTAATTTCTACATGAAAAACATCAAACTCAATTGACTAACATTCTGTTATCAATTGAATATTATTAGCTCTCACCTAGAGACAATTGAATATTATTAGCTCTCACCTAGAGACAATTGAACATTAATAGCTCTCACTCTGAGACAGTTCAAATTAATTAGATATTACCAGCTCCCACCTTGGGACTTATCTAATTCAAATTATCGATAATTTTCTATCTAAGGCGGCTGAGCTCACCCCTATTGCGTTATTGCAACGTAATTTTACACATTCACACTTACACACACACAATTTACTTGTATAATTCCATCAAGGAGGTTTTTTCCCAGCCTAGCTGGGTTTTCCTCCTTTGGGGACAAATAAATTCTTCTAAATTGTTCCCCAAAAAATCCAAGTATTATTATTTAATTTCCTAATCCCAACTTCATCATATTTTTAAAAACAATTACGGGAATTATCCGCATTGGATAGTTTTCGACAAAACAATTATTGATATTGGGTTATGAAGCACGGATTCCAACAGCTATTGCCAAAGTACATCTGGTCTTGCTAATGAGCACTAGTGACATCCCACGTTCGAAGACTGACCTCCCACTCACTACGTCGCTGCTAGCCAAACCCCGTCTACTCTGCATTACCGACAATACAACAACACCAGTCCCGCCAAAAAGGGGCCGTCCCATAGTGCAACAGCTTCTGGCTGCTGCTGCCTTTCCAAGCCCACCGATTTCCAAATTCATGGTGGACACCAAAATAAAAAGAGAGCTGGAGACTCTATGCACGACGAAGATCAAGAACAGAATTTCAGAACTATAAAAAAACAGCCCATTTCTCAAAATCCAACAGCTCGGATTACATCAACCTAATGGAGTTTGAAAAAATTCTGGCGGAAATCGCGGCTTTCCGAGTTGATCAGGAAAAAAAGCATAACGATCTCAAATTAAGACTGGAACAAAACTTCTCCAAGGACCAGGACGCTTTCATAGAAATCAAAAACAGTTTAAACAGCTTGAAAACTGAACTTCAAGGAACGAAACAAGATCTGGACAAGCGTATTGTAGCCCTGGAAAACAACTCTGTCAAGTTAGACCAGTTAAAAGATCTTTGTGCAACTTTGCCCCATAGCCCTGCGAATGATAGAATTACTAAGCTCTGCAATAGAGTTGATTACCTGGGAAAAGAAAACAAAAGAACAAAAATTTCAATTGTTGGGCTTGCACTTTCTACCAACGACCATGCGGAGGAGGTTAAACGCTTCTTAGCGGACAAATTTAGCATCAACGTTCCCAGAATCCATGTAACAGAATATTTCAAGCGGCTTATTGTAGATCTCTTCGATATCGGCCTGAAAACTCAAGTCCTCAAGGAAAAAAAAGACAAGCTGCGCGGTACCAAAATCTTTATCGACCCGGACCGAACGACAAGAGAACGAACAATAGAGTGGAGCATAAGAAAGCTCACCAAGCAACTCGCAGAGGAGGGCAAAAAATGCACCAGGAAAGGGAACAACATTCTGCTTGAGGATACGGTGTATTTCTGGAGTGATGATGCAAATGCACTGATTTCCCAACCAAAGCGGTCACACCCTCAACCCCCGCGACGGGAACTACAAATTAATGCTCCAAAAAACTAATATATACATCTGTGGGAATAACAAAAATTACTTTTTGGAATGTCCACGGCTTTTCTAACCTGGAACTCAGCTCTTTAATAAATGACTCTGACATAATAGCAGCCTGCGAGACATGGGTTACCTGTTCATACTCTTCAGCTTTTCTAACAAATTATAATTTTTATTGGTCAAATGCACTAAGAGTACATGCAGTCGGCAGAGCCAGTGGTGGTCTAATCACTGCAATTAACTCTCGGTTCCACTCTTCCCTAATTGATGTCTCACCCTGGTGGATTTTCAACAAGATTTGTATCCAAAGCGTCGAACTAATCTTGGGGTCAGTATATTTTCGTAAATGTTTAGATCTCCATTACTTGCTAGAACTGTTGCAGGACACAATCGAGGATATCAAAGCATGACACTCTTTCGACATATTTATCATTGGTGGCGACATGAATGCAAGAGTAGGTCAACTGAACCCTTGGCCTCCCGATCTTTTCTCTGGGTATCTTTTGAATGACACAGCACTCACAACCGACGACTTTATCTGCAAGAGAGGACGAAGGATTATGGAGTTCATGGTTGATAGTGACTTTGTACTTTTAAATGGTAGAACCAAAAATGACTCGCCAGCCCAACCAACGTACTTCAACACAGGCACCTCAATTATAGACCTGGTATGGGCCGACATCTCCTCTCTACATCTCATTGCTGACCTAGAAGTCATCCTGGAGCCTTCTCTATCTGACCACTATCCAATATGCTTAAGCATTCTGACTGAATCTGCTAATCATTACATGCCCAACGCACACAAAAAAACTGCTATCTCCTCACTAAAATCAAATGGTCTGACAATGCTAAGGAAGAATACCAAAGACGCCTACTTGCTAACCAGGACCTGTCGGATACTCAGGATTCTGACACAGACAAACTGCACGAGCTGATAATACAATCGATGTACTCTGCCGCTGAAGAATCAAAGCTGGTAAAAAATACATATTCTTCCTCACACAACTGGTCATACCGTAACCCATGGTTTCATACCAGTTGCAAAGATGCCAAGAAAGAATATCGCAAAGCTCTACGCCTCTGTAAAAAGGGAAATTTTACCAGCAAACTCAGACAAGATGCTGTGCTCTGTAAAAGCCGGTACAGAGAACTGTGCCGAGTTAAAAGGAAGGACTATATACAAGGTATTAAATCCGCATTTGCCAACGTTTCTGCCCCGTCCAACTTCTGGGGCGCTGTGAAAAAATTCAGCCCCAAGCAAACTACGCTCTCTGAAATTCCCCCCGCTGGCTGGAACGACTTCTACACCTCAATATACAAGCCGAGAATTACATCACCATTTTTGCCTAATACAATACACCAATGAATCTCTGGATGCTGAAATCTCGCTCTATGAGCTCGACTCGGTTCTCTCTTTGCTAAAACCAGGCAAGGCAGCCGGTCCCGATATCCTCCCAAACGAACTCTATAAGGCCCTCACAGGTCAGCACAAAGAAATGTTGAGAACCTTATTCAACAAGGTGCTCTTGGACGAACGAGTCCCCAAATGCTGGACTAAGTTGTGGATGACGATGCTATACAAAAAAGGCGAGAAATCCGACCCCACAAATTATCGTGGCATCGCTCTTGTCAACACGATCACTAAGATTTTCACTACGATTCTGAAAAAAAGGCTTGTCACCTGAGTGACCGAGGAGGGATGTCTTACCAGGAGGGTGTCTTACCAGACTGCCAACTAGGTTTCCGGAAAGGACGCAGTTGCACAGACGCCATTTTCACCTTGCTCAGCGCCATCCAAATACAGTTCCGGCATAATGACGGCAGAGAAATATACGGAATATTTGTTGATTTTCAAAGAGCACTCGACTCTGTGCCTCATGCTCGCCTCTGGGAAAAATTACAGACCGTAAAAATTGGCTCCAAGTTCATCTCAATAATTAAATCCCTGTACGATCAGGCAACAATGCAAGTCAGAACAAAATAGGGCTACTCAAATGAATTTGAAGTCTCTGAGGGCGTTCTGCAGGGAGAATCTTTAAGCCCGGACCTTTTTCTCCTATACTTGTACGACATCAAGCAGTTTTTTCGAGGCAAAGGCCTTTATGGACTTGACATCAACGGGATTACAGATATTCTTCTTCTCTTATACGCTGACGATACTGTAATATTTGCACACTCGCACATAGACTTGCGGCGAAAACTGAAAGCACTTGAGCAATATTGTGACCTGAATGGATTAACCGTCAATCAATCTAAAACTAAAATTCTGGTCTTTAAAGCTGCAGGCAGAATTAAGGAATGTCCCAACCACTTCAGAACTTATAAACAAACCTGCCTGGAATTGGTTAAGAACTACACTTACCTGGGAATCAATGTCTCTACATCTGCTAAAGGTCTAACAGCACTGAAAACAGCTCTGAACAAAGCAAAATGCGCCTCAGGAGCGTCTCTATCGCTTCTAGCCAGGGCTAAATGTGATTCTTGGGACGCCTATAATAAGATATTTGACAGTATGGTGGCCTCGGTCTTCCTATACGCTTTCCCGGCCTGGGGACTGTGGTACAGAAACTCACTGGAGCCTGTGCAAACACTCTTTTTTAAGAAATTGTTTAATCTACCCAGAAATACTCCAGACTGGGCAGTACGTCTGGAATTTGGACTCAAACCTGTGGCCGTGAGAGCCTTGTCCTGTGTCTTAAGATGGACGATAAAAACTTTAAAGGCCAACGACGAGTGTCTGCACAAAATTTACCTCCTGCGCCTATACCATTTAGCTCAAAAAACCACGACGGCTTCACCTTACAACTGGGTTTCCCAACTCAGAGAACTTTTAACAGAGTGTGGTGAGGCGCATCTTCTAGACTCCCTGGACCCGCTTTGCTGGGAAATAAGAATGAATGCCATCCTAGAAAGCTATTCTGCAATTTGTCGAAGCAAAGACGTCAGTGATGCAGAACGCTCCAAATCACTTGAGCTTTACACACCATCCTTGGTTCGTCACTCTCCAGCTAACTATCTCCTGCTAAACATTCCGTTTGCTTCCAAACGAATCATTGTTCAGATAAGACTTTCAAATAAACACAATTGTTTTCTCAACACTGGCAAAAACCTAGTCAGATTCAACCCCAGTTCCTTCTGCCAACTCTGCAATTCTCCAGTCCCTGATACAATAGAGCATCTTCTTGTCACATGTCCAATGTTCACCGGCCTCAGGAACCACTATCTGCTAGAACCTCTACAAGAACATGGAAATATTACTGAAATCCTTGTAACATGTAAAATTAAAACTCTACACGTGGTCACTAATTTCACAATTAAGTCATTAAACTTAAGAGCCTGGGCTTTAAATCTCTAACTTGATAACCAATATGGACACAGTTCTGTTATTCCCACATCATCATCATTGTCATTGTTATTATATTTTACACACAGAGATGTACATACACATATATATTTCTTATTTTTTAATTTTTTGTATTTGTTATATATATTGCTTCCCCTTGCTAAAAACAAATGTAATTGTTTAACGCAATAAATAAATAAATAAAAAAATAAATAAATAAAATTTTTACAGAAACGAATAAACCCATTTCACAAGCACTTGAAATAGAATATTTATGGTAGTCAGATTGTAAATTATTATATATAAACAGTAGTTATTAAAAGCTTGAAGTGTATTATAAATATAAACAAAAACATTATGAAGGCTTGTATGTATATATTTGCGTGAGTGGTTATAACGTAGCCACCTTGCGCATTTTACCGCGTAATTCAACTGTGAAAAAACTTTTTTTCAATCTTTTATAAATATGACCAACTAATAACAACATTATAATTAATTATTATTATTATTACAATAATACGTAAAGGGGAATTATTTTTGTAAAATTTTCCATTTAAAACTCGCAGGTACGCAGTAGGAAAGTAAATTTTTGGAGATATAAAAGCGCGGGCCGCGCACTGCGCAGTAGAGTCATTATCCCCTTTTACTCATTGATACCCACGGCGTGGGTCCCATGCTCATAACTAAAGTGGCGGTATATTTCCCCGGTACCTCATAGCTTATAAATTTATATAATAGTGATAAAATTATTATTTTGTTATAAAAAAGTTAATTATAAAAAGAAAATGTCGAATGATGACCCCGATGTGAGTATATACTTATACATAACGTTTATTGATAACAGTTATAAAAATACAAGACCTAACCTAAAATTATGATATTCTTTTAAAACTTTTAATTTATTATTTTCTTTTTTTAGTAACCAAATAAAGACGATAAAAGATTACGCTGCGGTTTATTTTATCCAAGCAAAAGAGTACTCAGAAGTACCTTCAAATTAGGTTTTACGTGACGATCGGTTTAAACATAAGATCGGATGTCGATGGCCAGGGCCACGGGTAAAAAATATCACGCAGAAGATGAAGAACCGAATAACACCACCTGAGGACTGGCCTATTCACGCAGTACAAATTTTGAGATATTGTGGTAAATATTAGAATTATTAGAGAATCGGTCGGTAAGCCTGGTAGCGTGCTCATCGTGTGCGCTTAACTAGTGAAATAAATAGTGAATAATAATAAATAATAATAATAATAACTAATTTTCTTTTGATTTTTAGTGATCAATTAAATTTTAGAGTTCTGTATCAATAATTCACCTTTTTTAACTCCATAGTTGTTATATCATTAAGTGTATTCTTTGTGAGAGAATTCCTGGGTGGTTAGAAACCTAACCTAGGTCATAGAACATGTGACTACTACTAAAGCTAACCCTGATATCTCTGCAAACTCTTCGGAAGAACTTTTATCAAGAAAAACACCAGTCACTAAAACAAATATAGTGGTAGATTCTCTATCGTACTTATCGAATACTTCAAAAGACTCTTATTCTTCTGATCTAAATTCGCCCAGTCTCAACAAAAAATTCAAAGACACTGAAACCACTCCTGTCTCTTCTCGAAAAAGAGGACGCCCTCCAAGCTCATTCTCAACTAATAAACTACGGGTTCAATCATATAATCCTATCACTAGTTATCTACAAACAGATTCAAGAGTTCAGGAGACAAATATAACCTCAATAATATCAACGGTTTCGCCGCCAAATAAAATCCTCAAGACTACAACATCTCCCATCCCAACTCTGGAAACTTCATTTTCTTTAACATCCATACCACAAGCTGCCAGCACTTTATCAGAAAAAATGTCCCTTCCAGCAGTTAACTCATTGGCTGAAGTCCTAGCAGTCCTAGATGGTTGGAGGAAGGAAGATAACAAAGCCAGGGATGTTATGCGAAAGGAGTTATTGGATGAGATTACATCTTCTCGAGAAGAACACAACAGAATTCTGACTGAAAAAACGGATAAACTTCAAGACGAAAATTCTGCTCTCAAAGATCAGATAATTAATTTAAATGAAAGAATCACCAGGTTGGAGCAAGCAAAAATATCTACATTCACGGACCCTCACTTTGCCAACAATCTATCTGCCTTTGAAAAACACATTGTGAAAACGAGTATCTCGGCAATGGAAAAACATATTAGGAGAAATATTATAGTAGTAAGAGGCCTGAACGTGACTGACAGTAGCGCAGTAAATAGCTTGAACCAGTTCATAAAAGATCATTTCAATATTGACGATGCGGTACAAGAAGTTTTTTGGATAATTGGTCACAAACCATTTATCAAAGCCAAACTCCGGGACTCAAACGTTAAGCAAACAATAATGAAAAAGAAAAAGACCCTGTAACGGGTGGTTTTAATTCCCCGCACTTATGGCCCCTCGATTAAATTTAATTAATAATAATATAATAACAAAATGACTCTAATACTATTCAGGGCGCCACCAGGATTATTTTCTCGGTTCCTGGAACCGGATGCCAGAGCTGAGCTTAATAATCTACAGGGAAAGAGAGAGTGGAGGAAGGTGATCTGTAAATAATTGAATCTTTATTTAACAATTGGCCAAGATTTATTAACACAACAAAATAAGATAACTAGTTAACAACTCGTGCACTTGCACGTACTTTCAACTCACTAACAACGATCTCACTTACAACTACGACTTAATACTACGACTTCTTACTTCGCGCTTTCCACAGGAAAGTCGCAACTACAACTTAACCTAGGTAACCAGCAAGGCACCTCATACAGAGGCTATCGTATACGAGGGCAATGTGTAATCCTTATAACTAAATCCACGAACTCCACGACTCAACTTAATCTAGGTAGCCAGCAAGGCCCTCGTATAGAGGCTATCGTATACGAGGGCGATGTGTAATCTTTATAACTATCAAAAGTCCTATTCCTGCAGTACCCTCATACGGAGCGTCTATACTACAGTTTCTACCTTACTACCGCTGTACCCCACTTGACGACTATGCAACGGCTTCTAGGATTTCCCGCCCCGGAGTCAGATGGACTCAAGCGTGCTCAACGTGCCTCTTGAGCGGTACTATCTCGCACACACATTACCCACGCGTCTCCACACACATTACCCGCTCACACACACACACACTGACTCTACTTTACTATTTTTAATAACAATATTTACAAAATTGAACTCAAAATATTACATCGTTAATTTTTCACTAAAATTGTTCAGTCATTAGCTCGCAATAAAACTCTATAATTTATTCTGATAATTAATAAATTTACTTCTTAAAATTTTCCGGCTTACAACCGACGCTACTTTTCCCTCCAATTTTAACACGAGCTTATCTCTGCGCGTTAACCATTTCTTAGAATATTCTTTTTGTAAATTTAACTAAATTTTACTCGGACTTAATCCACACGAATAAATAGTTTTATAAATAATTTTACCGGAACCATGATAATAAATTATTGATAAATTTTCCAAGACATAATTTCAATATAAGACTCCCCAAGCAGAAATTGGCCATTAAATTAGATAATAAATTATAATTTTACTCAATATAAAAATTATGTGCCTCAAATTTTCCGCGGGTGTATCAGTCTTATCTGCGGCGAAATTTAATAATTGATTCTCAGCAATTAATAACACGTGGAATAATTATTTTCTGTTAAATTGAGGATGACGATTAGATAATAATTAATTCACCTCAGTGTGAAAAATAAATACAGAAAACTATCCACGAGTATTAAATTTCTAATTGCGTCGCAGTTTTCTCAATAAATCAATTCCGGTAATTAAAATTGTTCCAAAATGTAATATAAATAATTTTCATAAATAATCAGAATATAAATCAATATAATAATTAATTAAGTGGTGATTCAATTGCTAAAAATTATAAAAATTGTCCAGGTATTTATTTCATAAATTTACTGCGTCACAAAATTCTTAAGGAATTTGCGCGCTCAAAATGGACGCCGTTACTGCGTAGTTAGCTCGACCTCGGGTACTGATGCTAGACTGGTCGTGAGCTATGACTGGAATGTTTTCTCGATGTTCAGAAATCGTATTAATAATTTATTAATAAAAATGAATTCATTAAAGCCAATCAAAGGTGTTAATAACTATTACTGGCCATATTAATAATTTAGATACTCACGACCAAACTTCAGAGGTCTGGAACATTCCTCGGGTGTAACAATCCCCTGGAGGAATTGTTCACAAAGCTTGCAAATTAAATTGATTAAAACACTTTATTATTATTGATGAAATATTATTAAATGAATTGAATTACCATTAATCAAATAAAATGAGAAGTAGTATGTTAATTGAGCCGGGTGTAAACCCCAAGGCTCATCACTACCAAAGTCCAATACCTGGTGTCAATTGGTTTGAAGGAACTCTCTGGTTGCTAATGGCTTCCTTCTTGGACTCCTCGATCTTACTTGTTTCAACACTTCACTACTTTCTCCCGACACAACGCATCGCTCGCCTGTTTAATGACTCCCTAAAATACCCCCTCCTACTCTCTTCAAGCCCGAAGATCGATGCGCCTAAATGCTAGTCGAAAAAGTTATCGATCTCTGGCGACTTATCGATCAAGGGTAATTTACCCTGTTACAACCCTGCAAGCAGCTGTATTTTTTGATCACGATCTAATTCCTCGGGAAAGCTTAATTGCAAATAAACTCCAACTAGAAGCCAAAAAACTAAAGGGAGAAGGTAAAAAAGTAAAATTTGGATTCCAACGTCTATATGTAAACAACATAGGTTATCAATATAACCTTGATTTACAATCTCTAGTTCCCATTACAAATGGTCAAACGTCTTCAATGCAAATAACAGAAAATTCTCAGACCGATGACCTGTCTTCAAATCCTAATACTATTAATGATAAGTCTACTCATAAATTTTAATCCTCAAGGCGGCTACAATAATACTATAGTTAACAATTCCTGCTTTTCAATTACTTTTTGGAACATACATGGCCTAAAGAATTTATACGATTTAGAAATTACTTACAGTCAACTTCTTTGTATTTCAGAAACGTGGGAAACATTGCTAAATCCTATTCTCCCATCTTACTTCAATAAATGGCACCACTGCATTTCTCCCGCAGTGAAGATTAACCTCCTTGGGCGAGGTAGTGGTGGGTTATTATCTCTGAGCAATGAATCAAATCCTACAAAAACCCTGAGCACTTCTGAAAATTGGATCTTTCACAGTACCGTAATCCATGAAACTAACATTATTATTGGATCAGTTTACTTCCAACCCAATTTGAAAAACTTATATTCCATACTTGATTCTTTACAAATTATTCTGGATAAAATTCTAGCAGAAGAAGAGTATAATTGCTTCATTATTGGAGGTGACTTCAATGCTAGAGTTGAAAGTTTTCTATACGAGGACCCTACGATGTTGAAGCCTTCATGTCTATATTCTATGAGATCTGCATGTGATAAAGAAACGAATCATCAGGGATCCATACTTTATGAGTTCATGTCTAGTAATGGCTTTATTCTTTTGAATGGCCGCACTCCAGGAGACTACAATGAAGACTTTACTTTTAGTAATGCAAGAGGTAATAGTACAGTAGACCTTGTATGGGTAAACACTATGGATATCAACTTAGTGAAAGGGCTAGCCATTTCTAATGCTCTTACCAAATCGGATCACTTTCCAGTAGTAGTCACTCTTCATTCCATCCAACCCATACCATCTGCGCAACTCTCAAACGTTATGTGTTCCGTATCTCCAAGCTTTTCGTTGCGCTGGTGCTCTTCGTCAGCTCACTCTTTCAAGAACTCTATGTTCGTCTCTCCACTCATTGCTCAAAACTTTGCCACTGCTACTACAAATGACTTGAATCATGCCTTTCAAAATGCTATAACGAACGCCGATCGGGATGCAGCAATGCTTAAATTACTACACTCACAGCCCAAATCTAGAAATCGCTTTATTTCAAAATCATGGTATGTCACAGGGTTTTTATTCCCTGTGCGCGTCCCTCCCTGCGCCCGAATTTGGCAACAAATCCACACTCGGTGTGTCTCTGAATTTTATTATTTTGTATTGCAACGTGGCCGTTTGGCTCACATTAGGTAAAAGCCAATTTACCACCTGATATTAGCATTTGCTGATAATATGTAAGTAAGTCTAGAAATTAGATGATAATTGTCTATAGTACGAAGATTGTTTAATAGCGGCGCTAGAACACCTCCCCACTACTCAATGTTACTTAATATACGCGGAAGCCGCGTGTAATCAGTCTTTGTTCAACCCCCATAGTGTATACTTCTGTAATTGATATATTTCTTGAAATATAAGTAATTATTTTTACCGTGTTACAACGTAATGTTCGGTATTTTATTCATTTACACCGTTTATTAAAGAATAACGGCATTTTAAACTATAATAGTACGATACGACTCTGATTATTAATTAACAAGGAGTATGTTGTACATTTATTAATTAATACGACGCATATACAAGATAATTTCGCTTGGCATGTCGTGTACTCAAGAGGTCTCGAGTAGTCAGCCATTTTGTTGAGGAAAGCGTCGTTTCATTGTTCGAGGAAGATCCTGGTTGTTGGTCACTTCGATTATTCGTCTGTTCCTGATCCAGTAACCGGCCCAGCTGCAGCCACGAGGAATCTACCACCGCTGGACAACGTTAAAGCACACCGAAGTGGTAGTAGTACCTGTTGTAAGTCAGGTGGTATATTGGTAAGAATTGGACGCGGTATTGAACTTACTTTGAGCTGTATTTTTCAATATTTGTATTTGACGACCATTTAGCTCTATTTTTCCAACTAAGTGATCAGCGGAGCAGTACGCGGTAAAGGTTGGTTTGTGTCGGAGCTAAACCCACTTTTCAACGAGTATCGCTACCCACGATTTGCCCTGGACCATATTCTTTACGCAAATTAAATCAATTAGCTATTTGTAGCTTTGAAAGCTATCGGCTTGGTCCGCCGTAAAATCTAAAGCTACAGGCATCTGGAGCAGCATCGACTCTTATAAGCCACGGCTTCGAGTTGGTTACACTCCGGGTGTAACGGGCGTGTCTTTTCGGCCCAGTTCGTAGAGTTTATTTAACTAAAATTTAGATAATTTATTTTGTGAAGTAAAAATTTGTTGTCTCTACGAACAGTCGAGACCAGCCACGTTTCAGTATTTATTTATTAATTTAATTATTGAATTTATTACTATTATTATTATTTATATTTGAAATTCCTGATATTATTGTTATTAATTTCAGAATTAATTTTTGCTTTTATTTCAGATATTTATAATGAATTATTTATAATTCATTATTATTATTATTTTTTGTATGTATCGCCGTAAATCATTGTTATAGTACCTGGTTTTATTATCATAGCCTTTACTCGCACGGGTGAAGTCCTGTATTATCGATCGCGAGCAAAGTTCTATTGAATTTTGGAAAATGGCTAAATAGGCCCTCATGATCGAACACGAGGCTTCGAACGGTTTACGGTGATAAAATTGAGCAGACACGCGGTGACCCGCTTGGTGTGAGGTAGACACGCGGGACCTCCACTATTGTAAGGAGTGTGGATTTGGTGCCTTGGGTTGAGTTTCCTTTTTCTGGTGAGTACTCACAAGTTAAGATTGATTAACATCCGTAGACCGCTGTCTCCTGGCTCAAATAATTTATTCTTTTATTGTTTAATTAAATTTACTATCGATTTATCGGGTCAATCCCGTAGCGAGTAAGGGTTATTCTAAGGGAATATTAGTACCTGTCCCGAAAGCCGCGTGTGGGTCCCTGAGTTGGCCAGTAATTGCTAATTAAAATATTACATCACCGTTGACGATTATTACGTTTGTAAATAATATTGAAAGGCTAATATATAAAATTATCTTTTATATCGGTTTAATTATTTGAAATCTATCGTATTTTATTTTATTTTGAATTTATTTTGTTATAATTATTTGCGAAAAATTAAGATATTCAAAACAATTATTGTCGTTTATAAATTATAATATCGAGTTAAACCCAATTATTGTAAGCGAATAGAAAATTCCATAAAGGATTTATTTTGTTATTTGGAAAGTAGATCTAGTTTTAACGTCAATGCAAATAGATCTCTCCCACTCAACCCTGGACACTATCGCCCCCTTGCGGCTAGGCCTGCGTACTATTACATGGCAATTGATAAAAAAATTTATTAAAAATCGAGTTTAAGTTAAAAAAATAAAAGTTTGCATTTAAAAAATTGAAAAAAAATCAACGAATTTTTTGAATATACACTTATTACACAGCTAACAATAAATAAATTATAATCAACTCACCAGAAATAAACAAAGCCGTCATGTTTATCTCCACATTTATTTTTTGATGATTCATATAAAATCAATAAAAGGTTTAAAAAATAAACTACATAGTAACCACCAAGTAATTTTAAATGTAATATTTATCAAAACTTGTCTTTTCTTAATCATCACAAAAATGGATTTTTAATTTGGAGAAAACTAATCACTCTGTGATAGTTTTACAACAGCACCGTATATATATTTGACAGTTTTACGGGTGCAACTGGGGCACTCGTGACGTCACAGAAATTCTCACTCAGGACGCGGCAAAATTTAAATGAACTAATAACAATTTAGTTGCTTAATTTATAATTACAATAAACATAATATATTTTGGAGATTATGAGGACTAGGTTGTGATTAATCAGGTTAAGATTAATAACGCGAAATTAGCAATTTAGAGTAAATATATTGTTACAAATAATAAGTATGATAATACAGAGTAAGTAGAAATGTAATACATGTTAGTCGGATGACTCAGCCTAATCCAAGGCCCAATACCCTTACAACACAGCACGTCCGTACTGCAGGCATCCAGACTACGCACCACTTAGTTTAGTCACACACTCTGGCTAACGAGTTACTCTATACTCTCTTACAATGTATATTGATGCTAGACTTATATACTACGTTATTTCCAACAATATAATATTTAATATTTTTTGTTTTTAACTATAGAGCACATGCATTTATCTATTATTTATAGAAATAATTGTATTATTATTAATAATTAATAATAATATTATAAATATTTTTTGAAATTTTTATTTTTTTAGCATGATAAATACGCCAATTATTATTCATAAAAAGAATATTTCCTATTAAAAATTTGGAATAATGATTATGATTATTACTTGCATAAACAATATATATATTAGGGTGATTCATTTCCGCAAAATTTTTTTTTTTCACTAAGTTTGAGCTCTTAATATTAATTTTAAGTACTTACAATAAAAATTTAAAGTTTTACCATTTAAAATGCATGTAAAACAATTTTTTTTTTTTTTCAAATTTCTAATGCTTAGCCGGCTTTTACAATATTGCAAATCAGTTTGATGGACCTTGTGGGGAATTTTACGCTCTTCAAAAAAGCCTCGAAGTTTTTTTGTAACTCGCACTGGTTCACCGGTAGGAGTCGTCAAAGTACAATTTTTGAAAAAAATATAATTTCTTTCAATTTTTCGAGCAAATCACCAATGGTAGGAAGAAAAAAAGGACTGACATAAAAAAAAGTCATCTAACCAATATTTAATGAATTTACAGCCATTTATATAGCGGGAAACGTAAGAAATTGATAAATACTAACTCATAATGTTATGTAGATTAATTTTTTCTATTTATCGCCATTATATTTCCCTACACTACAAATTTTTTTTAAACTATTATGATTTCTCACCCATAATAAATATTAAAACAACACAAAAACTAATTAAAAAAACTACAAGAATAAAATTATAACATAGATCTTGCAATTTTTCAATATTTTTGTCGTTTACGAAAAAAATAAAAATGAAGATTATTTAATTTTTTGTAACAAAATTCCTAAATTAGTAAAAAATTTAATTTTTCCCATAGTCAACTTTATTCACGCCAACTTTGTATAAGTAGAAATCATTCTAAGACAGAATAAGCCAATTTTTTAATAAACTATATTCAATTTACTATTTTAATAGCAATTTTTCGCTGTCACTTGTGTTTAATGGTATAAATCGTATTTAAATTATTTCATGATAATCTTCAGTATTTATTTGATTATATTTCATTAACTTTCTAATCTAACTATTGTTCATTATGACTGAAGTAATTGATAATAGGACATATAACTATTTAGTTGGCTTTCAAATTAAAGAATATAATTCTTATAAATTACTTACTTATCGTGACGTTATTAATTTATTTATGTATAAGCTAACAAATATAAATAATGCTGTGAAGCGGGAAAGAATAGAAGTTACGGATAATTATTACGTGAAGCGTTCCAACACTCACGTAACAGGATAATTGGTAGGAAAGGATTGAGAAAGAATTGTGGAGAGGATCATCTTAATGTGAGTGTATAGAATATGTGAGAAAAAAAAAATTATTAGATAGCTCGGACAGAAAAGTTAATTTCTAATGTATATACATCAAATTTGTGAGAATATTACAAATTGATAGAAAATAGCAAATTTTTTATTTTTATGCTACTCAC